TCGAAACATCCAAATCTCAAATATATGGTAATTGACTCGTACCTTAACTCTAATTTTTGTTTTAGAAAACAAAAAGTCCCCAACAGAGTCGCCAAGCTGTCGACATCATTTTTCGCCCGGGTGGGGAAAACTAAGTACGACTTGGGGTTTTTCTTTGAAAATTTATGAAATGTTAGGAGTCACCACCAACCATTTTAAGGTGTGATTGGAACACCAAAAAATAGGATAATTTCAATAAAACATTTTATTTTATAAAAAATACAAGTTTTGTCTGTGAAAACCAGAAATTGAGTTCGAGAGTTAGTTACACGTGGAGAATGATTAGCACCCCTACAATGCCCAAAAATTGGTACCTAATTGATTACCCTATATTTAAAATCAGAAATTTTGAGTTCAAAATTTTATTTAATTTAAAAATCACTATGGATGCAAAGTTGACGAGGGTGCTCGTTTATTAAAACCAATAATATTCACCCCCTAGCATGAATGTGGGATATCAATTATTATGCCAATAACTTGTCATTGCCTCGAAATTTAAAAAATGAAGGGTTTTGAAAATGATGTTCATCTACTTCGGGAACTACCAGTAATCGCCCCCAGAACATGATAACGAGAACTATACCATTAATTCCTTGGTAAATCAACATTGCCTTAGTTTTGAAATCATAATGCAATCAAACATTCTATTTATTGAACCTGATTAAACTAAGTGATTAATTAAGGTTTTCTATATCCTAAAGTATCAAATTATGAAAATTAAAGAACTTAAAAGGCTAAACCTAAAAGAGGAGTCTCTAATATTAGTCCTAATTTATTTTAGCCAATTATTGAATCGAATTATTCCCTAAATTAGATTCTAGGTGTGAGAAATCTAAATCAAAGGTTTAAGTCTAAAATCTAAGGATCTAATTACTAATTAAACTAAGGAACTTGAGCTAAAAGAACTAAGGAACTTGAGCTAAGAGATTAATCTCTAAAAAACATAAAACAAACATGCATTTAAAAAAAATAAAAATGCTAAAACTGTACAAAATTGATTTTAAAGATTAATTACCTATTTACAAATTACCAAATAAATTTATAAAACAAAATTAATATTAGGGTTAATTTAACAACAAATTAATTTAAGGAATAAACTCAAAACACACTGAATACTTTAGGGACAACATCTTAATAAAGCATACAAATCAGGGTAGTAACCCAATCAGAACAAATAAAAATTAAGCATGAAATTCAGGAACTAAAACAGGGACCTAAGTGTAAATACATGTTAAAACTAGAGGGACTACAACATAATATTCCACATACTACAAGCCTATCATACATTAACACATAGAATGTGAAAATTCGAAATCAGGCCAAAGAAATTAAAACTAAAATCAAAGCAGTCCTTTCAGGTGACCAAAATGAAAATACACAGCAACTTTTGGGGATTTAAGCTTAAAAACCCCTAAACTTTCATTATAAAATAAACATTTTTATTCATTTCCTACCCTAATCTAAAAGAAAACTCTCTCAAGTCTCTCTTTTCCTCTGCTCAGCCGAAAATTGAACCCTTGTAAAAACAACGTCGTCAGCTACCACCCGCAGTGACCAATCGAACCCTAACTACCCAAAACAACCTTCTAAAGTTCTGATCTATCCCTAGCACCAAATCCAATCACCAAGAGCCTAGAAAAAATCCTTAAACATCTAAAAAAGGGCATGACTTTTCGGTTTCTTCGAACTCACCGTCGTCGGTTGAGCAAACTCAAAACACCTCGAAACCTCACGAACTACAATTTAATACCTAGATCTGGGCTGAAAACCAACATTCAAGGTCCTATAGATGACAAGAATCCCTTGACTCTTCAACCCCCTCACCAACGACGTAACTTCGGCGAACCGAGCTCCGATGAGATGCTCTCTCCCCCTCCGGTAATCTCTTCCACCCTCTTATATATTATTATTTTTTATTTTGATTCGGATTCAAGATGGAAAATAAGAAAACTTCTAAAGCAATAAAAGAAAATAAAGCTTGAAAAAATTCTTGATTAGTATTGCCTTTTCAAAATGAGGGAAAGCTCCCTTTACATCTTTCTTTTTTCGAGTTTTATACCCAACCTTTATAGAGATATAATACAAAAAATTTACAAAAGAAAACCTAATATTTATTGCCTTCTGATTTTCACTGTGCATGGTTGTTGATGATGAGTATGAGTGGCAGGGAAGGCATGGCTCCCTTGCTCGGTTGATAGGGCATTAAAGGCTTCATATTTACTGAAATCTGACCCGACTCAGCTTGACGGAGGCAACGATCGACGTGGCTGACATGAGGCAGATCTGGTCGACAACGGCTGGAACCATGCTTGATGGCGGCGGCAACTACTGTGTTATAATGATGGTTGGTGGCTAACCCTAAGATTAGGTTTAGGGTTTTTTTAATTTTAGGCCCAATGTAAATATAAATAATATATTTAATAATAATATTTTATTTATAATAATAATAATAATAATAATAATAAGAGTAGGGTAAAAATGGTGATTAAATTTTAATTGAGGGGTCTGATAAAATATTTCTTTATTTATTTTTTAAAATATATATTTTTCTCTATTAGCTAATAGTTAAAAAATACAATTGGCGAGGGCCAATGCTCCCCTGGTTCTGCCCATGCCTGACTCGAGTATGATATCTTTCCACCTGTTAACTGATTTGATTCGAGTTTAGGAAAATTCACTCGACTCTAAAACCTAATCTGAGTTTTAAGGTAAAAACACTACACCCAACAAGACACAAATATAAAAAAAAAAGTCTCATTTTTATTAGGTAAAAGAATGACTTAATTGAAAATATATATATAAATGGAGAAATATTATAGTGATTATCCCTAAATATATAAATATTAATTATACTATTATTTTCCGATCAAGTTAAAAATTGAATTCAGGTCAAATCGAGTTTCTTTTAAAGATAAAGTCGATTTAAGTTCGAGTTTAGGATAAAGATATATTCCAATCCCACATGCTAGCAAACTATCTAGGGATTCTTCTTGAATACTTTTGTGGAAAGCCATTGATGTTAGATTCTCCCAAACTGCGTACTGCATATATGATTTTTCCAAAAACTATTGAGAAGACAAATATACAAGGGAATTGGAATTTTTTACTTTTATTTGCTTTAAAACAAAGCTCTTTTTAATTTCTACATATATTTTTAATGTATGCTTTTATTACCAGTATGTCCAACTCTTTTTTCGAGATTTTCATGTATTTAAAAAGTTCTTGAAAGATCATTCGTTATATTTCGATTTCTATACATTAGATACGAGTGTCGAATATGAACACTGAAAAAAAAAGTAATCGAGTGAAATATTTTGGCCTGCATAATTACATAGTGCCCATATTATCTTACGTGCTGGTTCATGCAGGAAGAGAACAGAAAGGATGAACTTGCATGAATTCTTAGGTACCACGGCCGCATGGAGAGATATTGAAGAGGAGTGTAGTTTAATAATTTGATGTATATAGTATGGAGCCCGGTGATACACATAATCAGATCACCGCCACATCTTGATGAGGGTGGGCACGTGTTCACCCTGAAATCTAAATTTTCTTCGATTAGTTACTTATTTTACTGGTGGCGTCCACCTTGAAATTTTTCGTGCCCACCCTGGAATTTGAATTTTCTTCGATTAGTTACTTATTTTAAAGACGGTGTTCACTTGAAATTTTATTTGTACTCGTCCCATTTAAAAAAATTATGTTGCTAACATATGTGTACCCACTCTCAAAAAATTTCTGGATGCGTCACTACTCACATGCCCATTGCGTAAGAGTAGAAACACCCATGCTCACTTGTATATAACCTACATGACCAATGTCTTGATCAAGGAGCTGAGGAAACAACGAATGAGGGCACACCACTATCGTTTGACACGAAAATTAATAGAAGCGAGTATACCTATCAATTTTCTATCAAGAAAGCAACCAACACCTACAGAATATTTGACTTTAAATATTTTAGAATTTTTTTATAATATTATATATATATATATCATAGAAGTCTTTTCTGATGGGGTTAATTAAGATAAGAAAGTTGATCAAATAGAGAAAGAAGAGCGTATATATTCACACAAGAGAATCATGGAAAGGGCACAAAAGGCACTTAAGGAACCAAGTACACTTACCTTCTTTTAACAATTTTCTTTCTTTTCATGGGGTCCCCAATACAGCTTAGGATTCCACTTTAAGCCGGCCGGGCCGGCTGTCTTACCCTATTGCAGACCTGTTCAGGTCCCCTTTTCTCGAACCCGATCATCAAATACGAGTATGCATCCTATACGAATATATACATATAATACATTTAAAGAGTTGTAAAGGGCTGAACAAGTACCAAACTTACTGAAGGAGACAAAAGGGAATGTATTCCAATATTCCATTCCTTTCCTGCAAAACAATCTCCAAGAAAAAGCATCTTTTTTCTTTGTATGTATCTAAATACAAGGCTTCCCCCAGCACTTTTATCTTTGAATATGATTATTCGCCTTTGTCAGTCGGGACGAACACGAATACGAATATGAATTCTCATGATATATATGTATATGTATATGTATATGTATATGTACATATACATGTACATGTATATGTATATATATATGTACATATACATTATGTATATGTATATGTATATGTATATGTATATGTATATGTATATGTATATGTATATGTATATGTATATGTATATGTATATGTATATGTATATGTATATGTATATGTATATGTATATGTATATGTATATGTATATGTATATGTATATGTATATGTATATGTATATGTATATGTATGTGTGCATTGCACTGTCTTAGAATGGAAAGTAGTACACTTTGCATGGCCCACAGTTCTAACAAATTAGAAGGGGCAATGCCTCTTTCAATCACTGTGAATATTGGATTCGGTCATTAGCCTCCTCTGTGTGTTGCTTTATAAAAAGCCCTGCTTGGGGGTTGTCTTTGGCGTTATAAGTAAGAGTAGCCGGTGGAGAACTTGAGGAAGATTGAGTGTCGAAGAATAGAGATCGAGGCGGCCGGATCAGGTATAGAAACGGAGCTTTATACCGAGCGTGGCTTGTTAGTTGCATTGGTTCAACAAGAAGGTTAAAACTTACATGTTTGAGTACTTTTTGGAGACAGAAAATATGTTCCAACATCAAGGGAAGAGCATGCACCATGAGATACATTTGTTCTCGCAAGATGGGAATGGCCCTGGAGATTCCGGTCTTGTTCTTTCGACAGATGCCAAGCCAAGACTCAAGTGGACGCCCGATCTTCATGAACGGTTCATCGAAGCGGTCAATCAGCTCGGGGGTGCCGACAGTAAGTACACGAAAGTTGAACAAATCCATGCATAAACTGCCTTCTGTTAGGCTAATACAAATGATTCTACTTTCTTTTCCTTATGTTACAGAGGCTACCCCTAAAACGGTAATGAAACTAATGGATATTCCTGGCCTTACCTTATACCATCTCAAGAGTCATCTTCAGGTAACTTATCGACATCGTGAACCAACTTAATTAAGCCTTGGATTCACGGTTTGCTCGTGTTATTTTATGTTGTACAAGCGCTGATTAAATCTCTTCTTTTGGCTGCAGAAGTACAGGCTCAGTAAAAATCTCCATGGACAAGCTAATAACGGCAGTAACAAGAATGGCGCGGTTGCGATGACCGGAGATAGAATGTCCGAAGCAAATGGAACTCACATGAATAGCTTAAGTATTGGCCCTCAAACAAACAAGTAAGATGATGAATAATTAATGGTTTTTCATATTTAGATTTTGCATTAATCTATATGTTTTTTTTATGTATTGATTTCTATGTTCATGACCTGCAGAGGCTTACAAATCAGCGAAGCACTGCAAATGCAAATCGAAGTTCAGAGAAGGCTGCATGAACAGCTTGAGGTACGTAGCATACCTCCGAAAATGAATCTTTAGGTGTTGTAGTTATGTCACGGTCTGATAAGTTGGATATCGAACCAGGTGCAGCGACATTTACAGCTTCGTATCGAGGCTCAAGGGAAATACTTACAGGCAGTGCTGGAAAAAGCTCAAGAAACACTTGGAAGACAAAATTCGGGTAACATCGGACTCGAAGCGGCCAAAGTTCAGTTATCTGAACTGGTGTCCAAAGTGTCGAACCAATGCCCGAATTCTGCCTATCCGGATTTGAAAGACTTGCAGGGCCTCTGCCCCCAGCAGGGGATAACACAAGGGACTCCACCTACTGATTGTTCAATGGATAGTTGCTTGACTTCATGTGATGGATCTCAGAAAGAGCAAGAAATGCACAACAATGGGATTTGTTTAAGAAGATACAACAGCAACTCATTACCGGAAGATCAATCCCTACCGCAAAACAAGCTCAAATCGTTCAACAACATCAAAATAGGCAATGAAGCAGAACGAAGAATGTTTTTCGCAGATAAAAGCGCCAGTGATTTGTCCATGAGCGTGGGATTACAAGGCGAAAAAGGCCATCCCAGCAACAATAGAAGAAATGAAGATCGAGAGAGTTTAACACTACCTTATTTTGCAACAAAGCTGGACTTAAATGTCCATGAAGACAATGCTGCTGCTTCAAGCTGCAAACAGTTTGATTTGAATGGTCTAAGCTGGAACTAAAAAGGGTCCGTCGATCTTCGTAGCTGGAGAAACCGAAAGTGGTCGGAATTCATCGGAAGAGAAGACTCGGAGAAGAAAATGCTGCTCTTTCTGATTCATCTATGATCAGCTTGAAAAACCAAAACTAATTCAGTCTTTATTCGAATAAAGTTTGCAGCTAAAAAAGGGTAGATTTTGGTTCTTGCAACTACATAAAACATTAGATATGCAGGAAAACATGGATCGATCCGATTCAAGCATTAGTGTTAAAGTGCTCGAAGACTTTCCTTTCATCTGTACATCATAAATTTTTAACTATAACATGTTAATATATCATATAATTGATGAACCAATATTGTTTGGTTCCAAAGCATAAGAATTTCTTGCTCCATATTTGATGTTTAAAAATAAAAAATCACAGTTAAAAGCTACTTCAAACCAAATTCTTGTCTTTAGCAGCCTCAGCCCATTAATGTACTTTCTTAACCGAGAATAAACTTGTTCCTCACGGAAGCTCGTTAATATAGTATAATGTAAAAACACAAGGCTGTCAACCCAAAATCCATATAGCTTAAATCCCAAGTCACACCTTGTGTTCTTCTATATCATCTTTATTTTCAAAAGATGGATCGTGTCACAACTTGAGAGGCAGCTTGGGGTTGGTAATTGCAGATGTTTTAACTATCTTGCCGATTATTTGGTCGACTCAAGATAAAAAACTGAAGTTCAACTCAAATTTGAAAAAAAATATTAATTTGAAATATTCTCATACTTAACTCTATTAAATCTTAAACTCGAGCTCGATTAAAGCTCAAACTCGAACTCAGTTTAAACTCAAACCTGATCAAGAGATGGATTCAATCAAGTGAAATGAAGGATAAAGTCAGTTTCTGGTTTCACTCGTCTCTTTCAATGATTGTTTGCATTGTTTATTTGATTTTGTATGTTTTCATCTAATAATTCTTTAGTTGTGGTTGCATTTGTTAGTTCTTATTGTTTACAAACAGTGTTTATATGGTGTTGTCTACTTGTTGAACTGAAGTTGTACTTCAAATTTTTTTCGAGTCGAGTTGAGTTTGCAAAATTCGATTCGAATTTCTATACAAATTTAATTGTAATTATTTATAGTATTATGGTATGTATTGGTTCCAATTTATCATCTTTCTTTAATCAATATATATATATATATATATATATATATATATTTCTTCATATTCTTTTCACATTATAATATAAATCAGAAAGAATAAATCGTCTAAAATCATTAACGTTTCGAAGATTCTAAGCGTGTTTTCGTCCGAAGGTGATCGAATGATGCTAATCGTTTTACAATTCTGTTACTGCAATGCAATTAATCTATGTGATTTCTTGATGTCTTAGCACAGGTATGTGGCTGTGGGCAATGAGCCGTTCCTCACAACCTACAATGGCTCCTTCATAAACATCACATAATGACAAATCGACCAATGTAGTCTAGTTTCAAGCCCATCAGACGGTAGACATGGATATAGGAGGATGAAAAAATCAAAGAGTTTAAAATCAATTTGGGGGATTAAAGTATTTTCCAGTGAAACAGAGATCGGAATCGCGTTCACATAATAAAAAGGTACGAGTTAGAAAGTTTGATCTTCATCGATAGATGGATGTGATAGGTGACTATACACGCGACGATCTTCAATGTTTAATGCAATGCACCATTGAATATCACGTCACAAAGGGTAAATTTTGAAAATGGTTACTAGATTATCTCAAAACAATCTTTTTAGATCTTAAACTTCTTATATTTTTAAGTAGTAATTCTAAAAAAAAAAATTAAAAAATGGAAACTTTGTAAAATATGTGAAAATCCATAATTTTGTTTTTCAAAATTATAAAATAATTTTAAAATTATAAAATAATTTTAAAATTATAAAATAATTTTAAAATTATAATTTTATAATTTTTAAAATAAAAAATTATAAAGTTCTTTGACATACAAATGCAAAACTTACTAAAATCTCTTAGGCTGTTTTTCATTTTTCATATACCAAAAATCTTAATGCGTAGTAATATTTATTAGAGAAAATAACCTCAGTGACCAAAAATCCCATATAATATACGATTTTAACCAACTTTTTCCGGATTTGCCAAAATGACCAACAAAATCGCAATGCGATCGCTAATTCGCAACGCGATCTCCATTATCGCAAATTCGCGTTGCATTTCGCGTTGCGATAGTTGGAAATCGCGTTGCGATGGTATACAGTGTCGTTGCGATTTTCCCAATTCGCAATGCGAATAAGTAAATCGCAACGCGAATTGGGAAAATCGCAACGCGAATTGGGAAAATCGCAATGCGATACTGACTATCGCAATGCGATAATACAAAATCGCAACGAGATACTTACTTTCGCAACGCGATAATACATAATCGCAATGCGATTTTCAAAGCGCCATTAGTATCCTGGCCAAGTATTTTTTTTTTAAATTCCAAACATGAATATTAATATATTGGAACACTGAACTGTCCACAGTATATCCCGTAATCGCAACTCATAACCTAAAACCTAAAATCACAACTCAGTCCCATCTCCATCTCTCACTCTCTCACCCATCTCCGACGAAATCCGTCCCCATCTCCGGCGAAATCCATCTATCTCCATCTCTCAGAGCCACCCTCACAATCAGAAATGGAAAATCAACCAAATCAACCAACGAGGGTTAGTTTTTTTAATTATTTTCTTTTTGAAATTTTTGCATTATTATTAGGTTTTTCATATTGAAATTGATGATAAGTTTACTGGTAATTTCAATAATAGATTAACCATTTCACTTAGATTGCTTATTAAATCAACCAAGAATCGCAACGCGAAATGCAAATCGCAACGCGATTTTAGTTTCGCGTTGCGATTCTCTCGTTGCGATAGTCATTTTCGTGTTGCGATTTTCATTTTCAGAAACTATTCTTCTTCTGCAAATTGAAACTTGAATGAATTGCATTACTTCAACCAAAAAACAAAGACAAATACGAAATTCACAGTGTTGCATATTTAAGTTTGAAGAATAAACTACTACTATTTATGTTTATTATTGTTTTTGGTATATCTTCACAGTGTAGCTTTTGGTATATCTAATTTAGTATGTTTATTGTTTTTGTAGAACTTTTATTCGGCTCAATTGACCTTGAGAAATAAAGTCAGCCTGGCCAAAACAATTGCGTCGAAGCTTTCACCTGCACAAAGAAAAATGTTTGAGGATACATGCTTCGGGCCATGGCTGAAAGTACAACATCCCGGTGGAGATGCGATGTTGACACACCTGTTCTTCAAACCATGACTAGCGATCTACCAGAGACTATACAACGTCGTGATGAAGAGATATGGTTTGATTTTCCACCGGCGTATACGTGTTTTGGGCGGGAGGAGTTTTGCTTAATCACCGGTCTACGCTTCGGACACGATGATGTAGGTCGGTACACTAGACACATTACCCGCCCATCATGGCTATCCCGGGTTTTTCCTGAGCTGGAGAGGCCGAGTCTACACGTAGAAGACCTGACAAGATTTTTGAATAATAAAGATGGTTTTACTCGGATGGATGACGTCGACGTTGTCCGAGTATGCCTTCTAATTCTTTTGCATGCCGGCTTTTTAGGCAGAGAGGCCAGACAACCTATTCCAAATGATCTAATCAAATTGGTAGAAGACCTAAATGCGTGGAACCTGTTTCTGTGGGGCTCGTATTTATGGAAAGCTACATGGAATAAGTTATCGTCTGCCTTGGATGATCGAAAAAGTTTGCATGGCGATGGTTCCAAATACACTTTGACAGGCTTTATTTGGGCCTTTAAGGTAAGAATTTTTATATGATGTTTCCAAAATTATAAGTAATTATTTAACAATTACTAATGTTTGTTATTATATTGTTTGTAGATTTGGATATTTGAGGCCTTTCCCGCCATGAAGACATATGTAATAAAAACTTCAAATGATATTCCCAGGGCTATTTCCTGGAAGAGGAAACGAACCTTGCAATGGGAAGATTTACTACGGTATACGACAATAAATAATGTAAGTTAACATAAATACTACCATATGTTTATAAACAAGTTATTACTAGTACACGTTTAACTTTGTTTGAGCTTTTATATTGTTAGGAGGCCAACACTCCTCTACAGAGGCTGACACCCACGGAAGCTAAGCTTGCCACTGATTGGTGGCAAGCTAGTAAGCGTTTTTTTGATGGAACGGTTGATGAGCAGCCTCCACTTCGGGAGCCATCACCTCGCCCAGAGCTATCACCTCACCCAGAGCCATCATCTGATCGACCCGGCTATACACCTCCACAACAACAGCCATCACCTATTCTGTCACATCATCGAGCCTCTTCTCTACCATCACCGCAAGATAGGCGACCGGCAAAGATGCCACGACTTTTATCTCCCTGTTCTCCACCTCCACCTCAACGGGATGAGTTAGGGGAGTTACGTGATGAGGTCAATGCCTTGCGTGAGGAGGTCGGTACTTTACGCAAAGACGATGGTGCATGGCGTGTTGAGGTGTCTACATTACGCGGTGAGGTAGCCGCTCTACGTGAGATGGTAGCATCGTTGCAGAATGAGGTTCATACTCTACGCAACGAGGTAAGTTTAAGATTTTTCATACTCGTAATTCATTCGGTTGCTGCCAATACTGCTAAACTGTTTTTGTTAGTATTTGTTTTTGGTTTTGTTTTTATCTTTTGGTTGAAGTAATGCAATCCATTCAAGTTTCAATTTGCAGAAGAAGAATAGTTTACTTTCACAACACGAAAATGACTATCGCAACGCGGAAATGGCTATCGCAATGCGAAATGAAAATCGCAACGACAAAATCGCAATGCGAAATGAAATCGCAACGACAAAATCGCAATGCGAAATGAAATCGCAACGACAAAATCGCAACGCGAAATGAAAATCGCAATACGATTTGTGTTTCGCGTTGTGATTTTGTCGTTGCGATTTCATTTCGCGTTGCGATTTTGTCGTTGCGATTTTCATTTCGCATTGCGATAGCCATTTCCGCGTTGCGATAGTCATTTCGCGTTGCGATTTTAAGTTTCGTGTTGCGAAAGTAAACTATTCTTCTTCTGGAATGTTTATATATGTTGTCCTTTTAAATGTTTATATAAGTGCTTACTTCTGGAATGTTATCTGAGCATTTTGTGAACTATGATAGAATAATGATTTGGGTGAATACAATGCTAGTTTGAAACATATTTGTCCTTGTTTAATATCATGTCTGTTTATT